GGGGAGGTTACTCGGGATCGAGGGAGGCCTTCGGGGCAGGAGAGGAGGAGCTTGTACGCGGCGGCCATGTGGCGGTCGTGGAGGCGGGATGAGGTTGCGAGCCGCCGCCGCCGGGAGCTTTGGAAGAGGAATGGGAGTACGGGGACATGGCACAAACCGGGTCAATGCTCAGGCCCTAGTTTTGGCCCGTGGGCTAAGCCCATAGGCCGGAAATACTGAACTGATTTAAAACACCAGTGAGGGCTCATTTCGGTCGCGGGATTTCCGAAACAATGAAATAGAAAAGGTAAAGTTTGGGATGACAGGTTGAGCCAAAGCAGGGGCAACTTTAAGTTTAAGGATGAGAATGGGAGAGCATACTGTGAGTACAATAACTCCATACCCATACATATGTTTCACATCATGATAAAATCTCATCTATACCCTACCCGATGGGTAGATATCCAGCACATGCCCATACCTGGGTATTAATGCCCAATGAGTATTCATCGGGCATATCAATAGAACATCAAATGATGATGATGTGATTTCTAATTCTATGTGTAGCCGAGACGCCAACCACTAAGATGTTAATATGATTAGGGTTGATTGTTAGAAGGAGGGGGGTGGGGCACAGAGCTTACATACAACTACTCGGTATGTATAACCCACCAATAATATAGCTGGGTAGAGTGTGGCATACCCATGGGCATAAATCGTGCCCATGTCCTATCCATGACTAGTCGACTAGGGTATGGGTACTGCCCATGGGCATAAAAATGTGCCACACCCTACCATGCAGGTTGAGTACCCATGGGTAAAATTGTCATCCTTAAACTAACTAGCGGCTATCCCTGAAAGGGGCTACAAATGGGCGTGATGGGCCCGCGGGGCACGCCGTGTGTTGCTGTCGCCATGTGTCGTGTGCTGAGCTCACCCATGGGGTTACCCTTTTTTTATGCCTTTTTTCCTTTAGATTTTGCTTGATTTTTTTTTGTATTCTTGAAAAAAATATGTTTCTCTCATGAAGCATGTCGTGTGGAAAAGTATAGTTGTGATTCCACGTGACGCTGAAAAACACAGTTGTGCTTAGTGTGAAACATAGTTGTGCTTCTGCGTGCTTCCTGAAAAAGTGAAAAGCATAACTATGGGGTGCTTCATGATGAAGCACAACTTTGTTTCTCAGAAAGTGAAAAAAAAACGCTTTTGTGCTCCCGGTTTTCTGGGTTTTTTTAGTTTTCTTTTTTCCATGTTTCAGTTTTTTCTGCTTCCTTTTTTCTAAAAAAGTTCATGCAAACATAATAATATATGATCAAGTTTCGAAGTTCGCAACATGTGAAATGCAATGTGAAAATGGTTCGTGTTTGGACACAAGGTTCATGAGATAAAATGTTTTGAAAACAATAAATCTTAAAAAGAATCCAAAACTCCTAGGTCGTGACAAATGCCACACATGCAGTGCATCACTTGTCACCACCGGATGAGATGGGATACCCCTTAACTAGAGATTTCAAAGCATAAGGCCTAGCTTCACAAAATCTTTTATGGCAGTTAAAGCCGTAGCCAACCAAACTCTCAAATCTTTTAACTTCTCAAAAAACTGAGGGGAAGTGTCGGCTGCCTCACAATTTTGAGAGAGCAAAAGAAAGTCCCAACAAAAGATTCCCTCTCTGGGGTGCGGCCACCTCTCTCTATTTCTCGGGCGATTGCATGTCTGAGCCGCCCACCGCAGTTCCTTGCCTCCGGTGATCACTTCCATGCTGGCCAGCACCCCGCAATCACATCGATCTTTGGCTGTCAAATCCCGGCAAGAATACGACAAATTGTTTTCCTTCCCTTTTTTGTCTTTCCCTTCCTCTCCGGCCACAACGGCGCTCCTTTTTGTTGTCCTTAGCCGGGCGACCCTCCTCCTTGTCGTCCCTGGCCACAAAAGAAGTTGTAGCACACGTGGAGGAACACCTATACTTAAAGCTCGCGTGCATGAAGAAAACTTACATGGTAAAGTGGTTGTTGGCCTCCATCATCAATTTCAATGAATCGTTGTGTTCCGTACCATCACATCATTAGGAGAAGGATGAGGGGAAGAACTCATTCAGACGAAGAAGCGCCCAAGCCAGGGCCCATCAAGGACAGTTGCTCTCCTTGCTTTTTGGACTACATCATTGCACGCTTATGTCACGCATGATAGGCCTCTACCAAATTGTTTTTTTGAAGCATCAATCCTAGGTCCTAACTATCTCATGGACATCATCTAGTGGCGAGAAGTTGTCCTTGGCCACGTGGAAGGAAGAAACAAGAAGGGTAAAGAAGGAAGAGGAAGAGAGAGAGGGATTTTCATGCAGGGTCTAGTTTGTTTGAGGAGTTAAATTTGAGAGTTCGGTTAGATTTGCGGGTTTTTTTACTCATTTTGAGGAGTTACGGTTTTAGGAGGCATTTTAGGGGCTAATTTGTAGGAGTTCGGTCAGGGATGCCCTTACATTGTTGTTTCAGATTATCCCTGCTCCGAGTGTCCGAGCTACTAGATGCTGACTTAATTAGCTGAGCTAAATAGACATTCTTGTCCATAGATGTTAGCGACATTCTTATCATCCCTCTTGGCATGCCAAAACACACTAGTTTTTGGACATGGCTTCATAAAAAAACGGGAGGGATGACAATGGAGTGGGTTGAGTATATCCAATCCAAATCAATGCCCATATAGGCAAGTCCACTTATTTCCCACTTGTGAAAGTATTTTTTTTTGCATGAAAAAGAAACAGCAATATCAGTGGAATGCTGCCTGAGGGAGTCTCGGATTAGGGGGTGTCCGGATAGCCGGACTACCATCATCAGCCGAACTATCATCGGCCGGACTATCATCATCGACCGGACTCCAAGACTATGAAGATACAAGATTGAAGACTTCGTCCCGTGTCCGGATGGGACTTTCCTTGGCGTGGAAGGCAAGCTTGGCGATACGGATATGTAGATCTCCTACCATTGTAACCGACTCTATGTAACCCTAGCCCTCTCCGGTGTCTATATAAACCGGATGGCTCTAGTCCGTAGGACACAACAACAACAACAACCATTACAATCATACCATAGGCTAGCTTCTAGGGTTTATCCTCCTTGATCTCGTGGTAGATTCACTCTTGTAAACATCCACAATATCAATATCAATCAAGCAGGACGTAGGGTTTTACCTCCATCAAGAGGGCCCGAACCTGGGTAAAACATCGTGTCCCTTGTCTCCTGTTACCATCCGCCTAGACGCATAGTTCGGGACCCCCTATCCGAGATCCGCCGGTTTTGACACCGACATTGGTGCTTTCATTGAGAGTTCCTCTGTGTCGTCACCGATAGGCTTGATGACCTCTTCAATCGACAACGACGCCGTCCTGGGTGAGACTTTTCTCCCCGGACAGATCGTCGTATTCGGCGGCTTCGCACTGCGGGCCAACTCACTTGGCCATCTGGAGCAGATCGAAAGCTACGCCCCTGGCCGTCAGGTCAGGTTTGGAAGCCTAAACTTCACGGCCGATATCCGCGGGGACTTGATCTTCGATGGATCTGAGCCACAGCCGAGCGTGTCGCGCTGTCACGATGGGCACGACCTAACTCTGCCGCCGGACAGCACCTTGGAGGCCGCACACGAATCCGCTTCGACCCATAGTCCGGAGCCGATCACTCAGATCGAGGACGGATGGCTAGACACCGCCTCGGGAGCTGCAACTTCTACGGCGATGGAGCCGAACACTTACCTTGTCCCGCATAAAGCTCATGACTCCGAGGTGCCGGACTCCGAACCTCCTGCGCCCCTGCCGGTCGAATCCGACTGGGCGCCGATCATGGAATTCACCGCTGCGGACATCTTTCAGCACTCACCCTTCGGCGATATCTTAAATTCATTGAAGCGTCTCTCACTATCCGGAGAGCCCTGGCCGAACTACGGCCAGGATGGTTGGGACGCGGACGACAAAGAAATTCAGAGCCCACCCACCACCCACTTCGTAGCCACCATCGATGATCTAACCAACGTACTCGACTACGACTCCGAAGACATCGACGGTATGGACGACGATGCCAGAGACTACCAAGAGCCAATGTCTACAGGACACTGGAAGACCACCTCGTCATACGATATATATATGGTGGACACCCCAAAAGATGGGGACGGCGAAGAAGCAACGGAGGCCGATTCCTTAAAGAAACAGCCCAGGCGCCGGCATCAGCGGCGCCGCTCTAAATCCCGCCACAGCAAGAATAGAGATTCCGGCACAGGAGATAATAACACCCCAGAAAGTGCCGAAGACAACCCCCTCCAGCACGATCCAGTGCAGGAGGAGGCAGAAGCAAGCCCTCACGAGAGGGCGGCAGATGAAGAGGTCGAGGATGATAATTACTTACCTCCCTCCGGAGACGAGGCAAGCCTCGACGACGACGAATTCGTCGTGCCTGAGGATCCCGTCGAACAAGAGCATTTCAGACGCAGGCTAATGGCCACGGCAAACAGCCTAAAGAAAAAGCATCAACAGCTTCAAGATGATCAAGACCTACTGGCCGACAGATGGACCGAGGTCCTCGCGGCCGAAGAGTATGAACTCGAACGCCCCTCCAAAAGTTACCCAAAACGCAAGTTGCTCCCCCGACTAGAGGAGGAAGCGTACAAACCTGCATCACCAGCGCACAATACGGCAGACCGACCACCTCGTGGCCGCGACAGAGAGGCATGCAAGCCCTCCACCAAAACCGTACCCCGGCATCGCTCAAAAAGCATGAAGCCACGGGGGAATGCGCCGGACTTGCGGGATATATTGGAGGACAAGGCAAGACAATCCAGATCTATCTATGGATCATGTGGGCGCCCCAAGACCCACGACGAATACCGTCGTGCCGGATACAACTACTCCGGCCGGGCCGAACACAGCAGACAATGCTCTCTCGAGCTACGTCGCGATATTGCTCAATACAGAGGCGCCGCACACCCACTATGCTTCACTGACGAAGTAATGGATCATCAAATCCCTGAAGAGTTTAAACTCGTTAATATCGAATCCTATGATGGCACAACAGACCCTGCGGTTTGGATTGAGGATTATCTCCTCCA